TAGGCATAAATACAAGAAAATATTTTCGTACGAGACAAGCCTACATCCCAAAGTACTGAACCAATCATTTGCAAGTCTGCTTCATCTCCTCTTCAATCTCCATGGACTTTAAGGAGGCTCAATATAAGAGCTAGAGAAAAAGATCAAAGTGAATTAAAGAGTCAATACGGGTAGGATAAATACTAAGTTCATATTAAAACAAGACCTACTCAGCAGACATTGAAAAGCAGGCAAAACTACTAGTTTCCCAGCATAAAACTATCAGATTAGGGAGCACTAGAACCAAGATAAATACTAAGTTCTCTAGGATTTTCCATTCAACCATTTCTTTAAGTAATTGATGAAAACATGCATAGATATATTTTCTTCATTGTTGGTAACAAAACTTATAACACTAGTGACCTTTTTTAAGATTTAGAAGAACATTATGAATGGTTGGAGGGACAAAAACATTTCATCAAGAAGGTACTCCTTTGGTTCTCGGCAACCTCTAGCAGTGACAAAGATGGAAGGTTATATCTTCAGGAAGTGGATATTCAGTGCCTACGCGTTTGAATATTATTGCTCCTGAAAAAACTTCGGGAGATACATCAGACATGGTGGCAGTTCAATTTCCGGGTACACTCAGACATCAAATTTTGGAATTGAAAAAAAGGTTTTAGTTTGGAATGAAAGTTTGAACGGACATAGTACTTAAAAGATCAATTTCCAAATCTTATTGCTTGGATTGCAGTCAAGAATGCATGTTTGATCCAGAATTTGTGGAAATCACTCAGGATTTCTCCTAGAGTTTGCACTTCACAGCTCAACTGTGGAAGCTTTTCATGAATTTTGTGAACATTAGGGGCAACACGATCTTTTGAGAAGTTGGTATAGATCTGGACTGGACAAAAGCGGCAGAACACTATTTCATATCTCATAGAGTTACTTCAAGTTATACAATTCTGTTCTTTTTTTGCTTTCACATACAGCAACCTCAGCTCCTCTTACTGCTGTTTTGTGATTAATAAGTACGTACTTATTACATTTAAAAAAAAACAAACTGAGAAGGTATAACTTACTCATTGATATTCATCATCTCCCATTGTGCCCTGCAAAAAAAGTAAGAATAAGTGTTTCAGAAGAGAAAAGACTCCTTGTAGGAAAGACAGTCAGTGAAAAAATCTTCCAAGTTTGATAACCACTTACTATAACAAGAGAATCAAGGTAAACAAAAAATCGCATATATTTTGATTTTCACGTTTTTTTAAAATCTTTTTTGACAAAATCCATGCAAGGTTGAGATACGCACCAGTACATGTAGGTAGGGGTGTCAATGAATATTTAAAAACGACTAAACCGACCGAATAGTATCAAACCAAGTTTTAGGTTTTTTTTGGTAAAACCGTAGTGTAACGACCCGACCGGTCGTTTTGAGAGTTGTAGCCCCATTTCCCCATTTATCGCTCAATTTATGCTTTACATTTGTTATGTGACTTGCCGGGGTGATTAGTTTGGGTCCGGTGAGGTTTTAGGAATGAATTGGAACACTTAGTTCCAAGGTTTAAAGTTTAAGTTGAAATAGTGACCGAATGTCAACTTATGTGTAAACGACCCCGTAATAGAGTTTTGATGATTCCAATAGCTCCGTATGGTGATTTTGGACTTAGGAACGTGTTCGAATTTTTTTTTAAGTCCGTAGTGGAATTTGGCTTGAAATGACGAAAGTTGAATTTTTGGGAAGTTTGACCGAGGAGTTGACTTTTGGATATCGGGGTCGAAGTCCAGTTCTGAAAATTTTTATAGCTCCGTTATGTCATTTATGACTCGTGTGCAAAATTTGAGGTCAATCAGACTTGATTTGGTAGGTTTCGGCATCGAATGTGAAATGTTGGAAATTCTTAAGTTCCTTAAGCTTGAATTGGGGTATGATTCGTGGTTTTAGCGTTGTTTTATGTGATTTGAGGTTTCAACTAAGTTCGTATGATATTTTGGGACTTGTTGATATATTTGGTTGAGGTCCCGAGGGCCTCGGATGAGTTTCAGATGGTTAACGGATCAAGAATTGAAATTGGGAGACTATTGAAGTTGAGTTTGCTGGGTTTTTTTTGGTTGATCTGGTTTCCTTCATATGTCAAAAATCGAGGTCAAAAAATCGAGGGCAGGAAATCGAAGTCAGAAAATCGAGGTGAGGAAATCGAAGGCAGGAAATCGAGGTCAGGAAATCGAGGGCAGAAAATCTAGGGTAGCGCCTCGACATAGACTTTAAGTTATAAAACGGGGTCTTTGTCCCATTTTCCATTTTTGACAATTTGGAGCTTGGGAAGAGGCGAATTTTGAGAGATTTTCAAGGATAAATATTGGGGCAAGTGATTCTAACTCGGATTTGGTCAATATACACGAATATATTATTGTTTTCATCATTTAATTAGTGTTTTTGAGATGGAAATTTAGAGAAAATTGTAGAAGTCTCATAAAACGAATTTTTGAGATTTCGATGTCGATTCGAAATTGGATTTGAGTGAAACTAGTATGGTTGGATTCATAATTGAATGAGTTATCGAATTTTGTGAGTTTCATCGGATTCCGAGATGTGGGCCCCACGAGCGATTTTTGGGTTAAATTTTGAATTTTGTTAGAAAAATTATATTTTCATATGGAATTTATTCCTATAATTTGTATTGATTTAATCGAATTAATTATGACTAGATTCGAGCCGATCGGAGTCAAAAAATTGAGGAAAATACATACTACTTGATTGATTGAGCGTGGTTTGAGGTAAGTGACTTGTCTAACCTTATGTGAGGGAAATTTCCCTTAGGATTGGTATTGATATGAAAATATTAATGTGTTAAAAGTCGTGTACACGAGGTGACGAGTGTGTACACTGGCTAAATATGGAAGATTATGTCTTTAAATTGTATAGAGCAGTGTTGCATATTAATTATATTATTTTATTATGTTATATTTATCATCATTAATATATTTTCGTATTTTAAATTTGACTGACCTGTTCCTGCTAAGTGTTTTACCTGTTTAGTTGAAATTCTATTTCTTTTGTTCTGTGCATTACTTGAAGGATGAATTTCTTAATTTAAATATTATTAAAAATAAAGTATTTTACATTTAAAAATTTGATATTTAGACAAGGTGTTAAATTTATGAAATATTATTTTGCTGAATATTTTGTGAGATTTTCGTACTCATTGTGATGGAGTCGTGAGCTCTTTATTATGAAAAATATTGTTGTTGATTTATTTTGGCATGAGCCGTGAGCTCTTTATTGTGGAAAAATATTGTTGTTGATTTACTTTGGCAAGTTGAAATATTTGGGCACTTGAGGTGTAAATTGTGATATATTGTGATATTGATACGCATGCGGTGGTATAAGGTCATGGTGTTGAAACGCATGCGGTGAAATAAGGATTGCTTGATACGCGTGGCTAGTAGAGGAACTACTAGAAGTCATGCATTGTGATAAGGACGCGGGATGCTATTTCGGAAAAAATATTTTCTTTAAAATTTAATGTGAAGGCTCCCGCGGTGATATAAGGAAATGAGATATTGTGAATTTATTTATGATTTGGGACTACGAGGCGGTACCTCGGGAGTGCCCTTGTTGATATTTCTTTATGGCTGCATTGTCTTTGATTATTTTTGGTATTTTTCTTAAAGTTGTAAATTTCTGTTTTCCTTCCGCGAGGTGTTAATTGCCCTTATTCTGTGTAATTAAATTGTGACATACTACTTACTTGATTTATCCCCATTGTCATTATTGTTATTATATTGTTAAACTTTTCTCCCTATCTTTTATTATTCCAGTAGGGCCTGATCTGACCCCGTCACTATTTTACCGAGGTTAGGCTTGACACTTACTGGGTACCGCTGTGGTGTACTCATACTACGCTTCTGTACATCTTTTTGTGCAGATCCAGGTACATCTTATCAGACCAGGCGTCAGTGAATTAGCCGTACGAGGAGACTTTGAGGTATATCCCAACGTCTGCAGACTCCGGAGTCCCCTTCTATCCTTATTATGTTGCTTCCTTATTTTCTTTAGACTCTGATATATAGAGATAATGAGGATAAATCCTTAGAAGCTTGTGACTTATTTCTACCGGATTTTGGGAGTTGTAATTATGTGAATTTACAAATTTATTTATTTTAGATTTCTATTGTTATTCCACATTGATAGGCTTACCTAGTCTTAGAGACTAGGTGCCATCACGACATCCTACGGAGGGAATTTGGGGTCGTGACACGTAGGTTTTTATATAAATTTATAACCGTACCGATAATTAGGGTAGATTTTTTATTTTATGAAATAAATCGAAAAAATACCGAACCTTATCGAATAAATTTACATGTGAAAAATATATTTATATATTAAGTTTAAAAATAATAATGCATCATTTTTTCTTAGGCTTTCGAACTATGAAAATAGTTACAAGCCAACAAGTAATTAAACTCAAAATCCTAATTCACAAACTTACTATGCTACTCCTATCGAAATTAAATTATTTCCAGCATATTACTAGCAAGACACAAGGTATTTTAGCGATTATGAGTAGCAAACTACAATTTATTGAATATGTTTCCTTTCATATGATTCAGATTTATCTTTTTGAATATTTAATCTATGTCTCAACTTCGTTAATATCTTTTCACTCGTGTGATTTATATTTTTTGTATTTGCTTAGTTTCTTTTACGCTGCTTTAGAATAGTTGATGAATCTATATTTTGGTCTTCTTTCATATTAAAAAATATTTAGAGAGTTTTGATAAGTCCTATAAAAGTACGTATGTTATTGCATTCTTCTTCTACTAGTGACTTTTACATGATACTAAAAAACCCCGAAAATTAACCGAACCGTATCGATACCGATACCGAAGAGAAACCGACATGATCGGGATGGTTTCGAAAAATTTAATTTTGTTTATACATAATACATAATAGAATAACCGAAAAATTAATATGATATAAATTTAAAATAAACCGGCCGACCTACATGGAAACGCAACTGCGATAATCCCGTTACAGAAAGCTTTAACTGAAAGGGCCAGAGACATGAGAGTGTGGGATCTGAAATTTGAAGGGAAAATTAAACAAAGTAGGTTCACAAAATTTACCCTCAAGGGGATAACCACCTCTGCGACTGCGAGTGGGAGAAACTTGCTGGCAGTATCCCCTAATTCGGAATCAACAAGACACGAAACGTTCAATTGTGTCAAAGGAATAATAATAATAATAACGAAAAAGGGTCAAATATACCCATGTATTATAGAAAAATGGTCAAATATATTCCTCGTTAAATTTTGGGTTCAAATATACACCTTCCGTTATACTTTTGCCTAAATATACCCCTCATTTTAACGTAGGGACACCTGTAATCACCATATTCGTTTATTTTTAACTATCCATAATTTATTAAAATCCAACTCATAACCTGATATCCAATTAAAGATCCATACTCATAAATCCAATTAAAATGAACGTTTTGCTCCCTTCTTCTTCTTCTTCTTCGCACACTCCTCCCATTTTTTTTTTCCTCTGGGCAACTTCGCTCCTTCCTTTTTTTATTCTTTTTTCCCCTCTTCCTCTTTCACGTCTAAAGAATACTCCATAATAGAAACCAAAGAAACATTAGTTTAATTTTGAATCTTTTTGGTTGTAGTAAACGAAAGCCATCAAAATGGCTAACATGTGTCCTTTTAACTGAACTTGCATGCTATAAACATATGAAAGAAAGTTCAGCTTACGATTCAGAGCAAAGAAGGAAATCAATCAATGTCGACTTTTAATTACTGTGCATTTATAATCCAACATATGTCAATTACTTGCTGTTATGGTGGCAGCTTAGTGTTTAACCAAGAAAAGTAGACGTTTGATTAAACTAATTAAATTAATAAAATGAAGGGGCTAAACCTAGTTGATGATAATAACTTCAGATTTATAATTGATTAACACAGATAATGCAAGAGCAGTATTGGGAGAAGAATAAATGTTGTGTGCGTTCAATGTTCCAAGATCCTTGATGATGGGGGAATATTGAATAATAAATAGCAATAAATGACATTAAAGTAAATAAGGAGAATGATTCACCCAATATTGCTTGAAGTGGGTGATTCTTCTTTCTGACAATAATGAATGAAAGACCAGTACTAGAATGTTGGGACTTTTCTCAGATCTAACAGAAAAAGTGTGGAATAATAGATCATTCAATCTCTTTAGAAAGGTAATAGTTGTCTTTTATTTAGAGAGAGTGTATGTCTTACAAATGGTGTTTTTTTCAGCGCCCAAAAAATCCCCCTTTCTTCCCTATCTCTTTTTCTATTTATATGAGACATTCTTCAATCAACCCTAAAAGTACATACACCATAGAATATTCAAGAGAATATTCTACTACGAAAACTAGTTGTTAGTACTACCCTTCATACTCGACTTCGGCCGTTATTAACTCTTCGGCTACGAGTCTCATTTTCTACTAATCGACCTCGTCCATATAGCTTTTCACAGTACCGCTTCGTGTCAAATCTTAATGGAAGCAGATTTTGACCCATACAGTTAGTCCCTCCGCTTATTGATGTCGGCCCTGGGCGACGTCGATGAGCGGGTTCTGTCTATTAGGGTTGAGAAGTTTTATGCGAGCAAGTCGAGTAGTAGCACTTCAGACGGGATGGAAACGTGGCCTTTTATGATCCACAACCTAGGGTCACGTCGTTTCATAGTGACGTCATGTCATCATGCGTTATTATTACGCGTCTTCCCGATACCTTGTATCGTTTCCCGTGCCTCTACCGCTTTGATTTTTGAGCTGGGCAATTGCGGTTTGCTTCCTCGATATTGAAGACCTAACTCTTATAAATAGGGATATTCAGCCCTTAGGTTCACTCTTTGCTTTTTATAAATCAGATTTTCATATCCTCTTCTTCCTCAATCAGAATATCTGCTTTCTTGACCTTACTTCATACTTGTGCCTTCACCGATTTTGGTGGTTCCTGCTACTCGACTCTTCTGCATTTGCACCCTCTCTATTTATAAACAAAAATGGTTAATGTGTCTTCCAGTTCTGGGGAGATACCTAACCCTACTCCTTTGCCCGTATCGATAAGTCTAGAACTGACTTCTCAAAACTACCCGAGGATGACCCTGAGGCCGTAGAGTCTCAGATGGACGTGACTGCCCTTGCTAATTTCAGGGCGAAGTTCAAAATTCCGGTACATATCGATCTGGTCCCGGCAGGACATGATGTGGTGCAGATTCATCGCCCTGGATATTGTGCGTTCTATGCATATCCATTCTATGTGGGTTACTCTTTTCCCATTCTCCCACTGGCAAAGGAGTTCTGCCACTACTACAGCGTCTGCCCGGCTCAACTTTCTCCTTATATCTACAAGCTCATCCTCATGGTGACAAAGTATGCGGAATTGGCTGGCCGCAGGGTCTCTCTTTACCACCTGATGCACCTTTTCATTCTGAGTTTCTATAGAGGGACGATATTGCACCTTCGTCACTGTGGAGGCAAAAGCTTGGTAGTAAAGATGAACGATAAATCAAATCGTCGATTTAGGTTTAATTACTTCTTTGTCAAGACTGAGGACGTGGTGGAGAATGCAAATGGATTTTCTGAGGTGTGGAATTATGCTCGTAAGTATTTTCACCAAGTGCTCATTTTGCTCGTTCTAGTCATAGTCTAACCGTTCTGTCTTTTTCACCTTCAACTGAGACCAATCCCCCTCCTTTGGTCGTGGATATTCACGAATGGGTTAGCCAGATCTTGCCCCACACAGTGGGGATTCATGGGTGGCCAGCCTTTTTCCAGAAGTTCGGGCCTAAGCTTTTAGCGACCAGTGAGTTTGTCCGTTCATATAGTGACTTTTTACTTATGCCATCCTGGATTTATGGTCGAGTGTTCGCCATGGATTTGATAGTTGCCGTTCTAATCACTTTTTCAGGAGGAGGGTCTTCGAAGAGGCGAAAAGCTCATGCTCCGGTATTCCATAAGAGGAAGGCCATTTCTGTTCCTATTGATGCGGTGAGACCTGCTTGGTCGTCGACTACTGCGATGGCTGTTTCAACTTCGCCTCTACATCATCTAGTTGGCGAGGACGATGAGGAAGGATCGTCGTCAACTGATGATAATCTATTTCGCCAAGAGGCGATCTGTCGGTATCGAAAAAAGAAGTGTCCGCATGGGAAGTTCGGTGATGGACAACTTCGTCATCAGAGAAACGACGACCATAAATCTCAGAGTTGATGCCGAGAAGCCGTCCACGATCCCGCCGCAGTCGGGGGCCGAGGGATGTATGTTGCTCATTGAGGCCGGAACGGGTTTTAAAGGATCGTCGGCGCGAATACCCGATGCCTTACAAGGGGGTGAGACATCGATCTCTTTACAATCTGAGGACCCTTCCTCTCGGGTTGACAACAAGGGCAAAAGTGTTGCCGAAGAGAATTATGAGACGGGCTCCGATATGGACGCTGAAGAAGTTAGGATGATGGGGGAAGGACTTACCCGGCTTGAGGTGAGGTAGGAAGGGTGCACGCAGACCATTACGACCTCTTTGGACCGGGACCTATTAGTTGATACAGAGGACGTGGTCCCTTCTTTTGGTCTACTCTATTCCGATGTGGAGGGTAGGACCCTCGAGAAGCTGAAGGATTCCACTTTGTCGAAGAGCATAGCCGGCCTTGCTCTTAGGGTATGTTTGGTATTCTGTTTCCTTAGTTCATTTTATGTTGATTTTGACTTTGTTCTTACTCGCCCTGGCTTTCTTTTCAGACCGTGATCCTGGAGATTGAAAGTTCCCACCGAGAGGAGAGGCATAAGGCTATCTTCCAAAAGATGGAGCGAAAATATTGCAAATATCATGATAAGCACCGTGAGCTTTGCCGGCGACTTGGTGGTAGTAGCAACTTCCGGGACCTCCAAAACGAGCTAAAGGAGAAGGATGATGAATTGGTGAGGGTCATCGGAAAATGTAGTGAGCTCGAGGGGGCGTTGAAGGACAAGAGGAGGAGCTCGAGGTGAGTAGGGTGGTTGAGGCCCAGTGCGCCGACCTTTAGGCCCAAGTGGTCTTGCTGCGTGCCGAGCTGGAGGAGTGTCAACTTTGAGCGGCCATTTTGAGTGGTGAGGTCATCGAGAAGGCAGCGAATCTGGAAAAGGCAGAGTCAGCCCAGTTATCAGCTACGCGTAGAGCTACAACTTTAGAGGACGCAATCCGCGTTATTCATTCTGAACGTGATTGCGCCATGGAGACGGCTAGGCTCAGAGAGGAGCGACTTGATGAGAGGATTGGGGAGTTAGAAAAGGAGACTGCGGACCTTAGTGATCAAGTTGTTGCCCTCGAGGCCGAAAAGGCACAGTTATTTGCGCATCCGTCCTCCTCCCGTACTGCTTTTCTTGATGTTCCTCGGGATCTATATGAGGAATGGATTCACGCTGAGGCCCAGCTGGACATATTCATGGATCTTATGGGGACGGGGTATTTCAGAAGCCGACTTAGCAAATGCACGTGCTAAGGCACGTAAAGCTCTGTTTGCTTGTGGCTATAGCCCCGCCACACCACAAGATGGTGATACTGAGGAAGGCGTGGAAAAGGATTGAGCAGGATGCCTGGTACGACGATGAGTATCCCGACGGCGAAGATGGAGAAACAGGGGGAGATGGTGCTGCTAAGTTAGGTAGCACGTAGTTGTTTTTCTTTCTTTTGCTTGTAATTCTTGTACATACTTTTGCTGGCTTCTGTTTTAGCCTTTGTAAGGAATATATTTGAAGTAAGAGATGTCGTTTTAATCATAAAAATTTGGTTTTGGCCATGGTCGTAGATTAGTAGGTGTTAATTTGAGCGAGGTCGAATGTAACCAGTATTGAGTTGGTTCGAGCGAGGTCGATTGTGAGTTGGTTTGAGCGAGGTCAAATGCAAGTTAATTCGAATGAGGTCGAATGTAAGTTAATTCGAACGAGGTCAAATGTAATTCGAGCGAGGTCAAATGCAAGTTAATTCGAATGAGGTCGAATGTAAGTTAATTCGAACGAGGTCAAATGTAATTCGAACGAGGTCAAATGCAAGTTAATTGGAACGAGGTCGAATGTGAGTTAATTCAAACGAGGTCGAATGTAAGTTAATTCGAACGAGGTTGAATGTAATTCGAACGAGGTAGAATGTGATTTACTTAATTGTGGCC